TTCAAAGAAGCCGAAGGCAACACGGAGGACTTCGTCACACTCGCTAGTAGCCAATCGTCGGAATGTTGCAATCGCAGAGCATGTAAATAGAATAGCCTAAAACTTGAACATCATTTGGTAATGCCCGTTGGAGAATGACAAGAGAAACAAAGAGAGACAAAGTACAAAAACAATATCTTTGATTATATGATTGAGCTTGCTGCAAGGCACTAAAATTCTAATCATCAAATTCATGAAGATGACGATAATGCAGGCAGAAGAATGACTGCAACTTGACAAGAAATACGTTGATATCGATGAGGAAGATGCTCCAAAGAGAACGTTCAAGTATTTGAACTTGAAGATTTTTGTTTTATTAAGGTCCGTTTTCAGTCGCAGTTCAAAATATTTGGTCTGTTGAACAACTCATGCTTAATTTTGAAAATCTACATAGATTTATGCACTCGAAAAATATGCCACCTCACCGTTCAAAAATACTTTAGAATATATAATCATTTTCACAGATGTCTTTGTATTTTAAAATATGTTAAAAGAAGTTATTAACTCTCTTTTTTTAAATAAACCCCTCAATTTGGAATTTTCAATAACGCAGTTAAGACATTGGTTCATCATGCTAAAATTTTTGGGTGTTATTCTCCTTTGTGATTTAAAATGCAACTTACATTCTAGCAGCTCTTTACTTTGAAGGCTTCTTTGATTGGAGAATTGATGTTTTCTATAGTCATTGTCTTTTTTCGCAATAGTGAAGAAGGAAAGCAGGGAGTAAAAACATGAAGTTCTGACAGATGTCAAGCATTTTTCAAAGGAATAAATTACTTTCAAGGGTTGAACCCCAAACTCATTGGTTTAAACATGAATATAGATAATAAACTGCTACCTGACTACCAAATACACTCTACACATCTAAGTGTAAGGAATGTATTATCCTCATATCAATTTTAAATATAACATGTCATTAAACTCACAAGTTTGTGAGACTAAGCTTTTTAAGTTACACGCGTCATGCTTATAAACCTAAAGTGTATGTAGGTCAATTTTTTCAACTTAACATTTATTGATAATCACATTGTTCTAATGTTTTCTGCAAAATTCTAACTGTGGACAATCGAAGACTGTAATGCAAAATATTTCGTATTTTCCGATTTTATTTTCTTGGATAAAGTTTTGTTTTTCTTCCTTTGAAATGAAAAATAATTGGATATATTTCAAAATTTTATTTCACAAACGAAATCAAATTAGATTTCTCAAAATAAAAAAGAGAAATTTACAAAAAATACACCACTTTTAAAATGGGTTTAAAATTTGGGTTTAGGGTATTCACTCTCTTCATTTTAAACAGACGATCACTTTACTTTTTCGATATAGTACAAAAATCTTCTAAAAGATGTTAAAGTTTTTTATTATGGAGATTTGGGAAACTTTGAAATTGGCTAAATTCAAAGCAGAAAATAATCTCACAAAAAATATTAAGAATAATACACGTTTCTCGTTATGATTTTTTTCCAATGAAAGTCAGTGTGATCCGATGCTTTGTCGAAAATAAAAATAGTTCATGAAGTGCAAACTTGCATATGCTCCATGAAACTTGTGTGTCAAGAGGCATATTTGTTCGGTAAGATGGGCGGACACTTGAAATGTCAGACTCAATGTCCTTAACCCATTCCTGACAGAATATGGGGAGCAAGGAATATGTATATTATTAAACCAGGCGAGAATATGGATTTAACACTCTCCTCACCTAATTTCCATCCAGAGAGATTTCGAATCTGTTTGGCTCCCGGTGAAAAGGCAGCAAGTTGTACACAATTGTATGGGTGAGAGAGTCAACAGCATTATTCTAAGATGTCTGGAGCAGTATGGAAGACTAGATAAACTATTGAATGAGTTTGGGATTGCTTGTTCGTCTGACTTTCAAATTCTGAGAGGAATTTAGTACAACTAATGTTGAATAATCTGACATCAAATCAACTGTTACAGGAAGTTAAAACATAGAAAAGTGGTTGTAGTTTGTACAGCATTACTTGTCTTACGTAAGTAGCCGACACTTCAACTCAAAAGACTCCCAGAAATACCAAAATAGAGGATAAAAAAATACTTGTATATCAAGAGGTCAAAATATAGGAAAATTACAATCTGGATTTTCATAGAGAAGTAGGGAAATATTCGACATTTAAGACTCAAAATATTGAGATGTGGAACATCTTGTTTGAAATTACAAGTTCAAGTAAAGTAGACTGTGAAGTTTTCCCTTCACTTCAATGTGCACTTTCACGACAGACTTCACAGCTCGATTGCAGGAAAGTCTTTCAAGTAATCAGGGGTGTACGTTAGGATTGACAGGTATAGTTGAGACCTCTAACCGACGTAGGAGTTTTCAACTAAAGCAACCTTTCAAAATCGGAGACTTAGACTTAATGAATCATTCTATAATTCATAGCATATTCCACGATCCTATGTAGGGTTAAGGACTCTCTCCTGGAGCTTGTCCTCACTCCTTCAAAACCACCGAAAGAGAGAAGGTACAATACGCCTTAAAAGTAGCAACCCTTGGTTTTAAAGTAAAGAATGGCAGACATTATTGCAAGAATCATGGTGTGCGAAATTCCATTGTGCATAGGATCCATTTTGCCACTTATTCCAACGGACTTTGGCAACAACCCAGAGTAGCCCAGGACTGGAATTAAGAAGATAGTTCATAACGAACGTAGGCTCCTTCAAAACGTACCAGAGTTGGACACCAAAGAAGAGAAAAAGAACCCCATCATAGCTTGGAGAATTAAAAGGTCCCTCGAAGTAATAGTGGGAGCAGAACCAATTAGCTGCAGATAACTAGCAGAGAGTGGTTCTTTTGGGAATGATTCCTGTTCTAAAAAAAGAGGGAGACGAGGAGGAGGGGGTTTGGCTTCAGAGATGTTGGAGGCAATGAACATGTTTGCACGAGCCTATTTCCTTGCATGAAGGAACTGAAAGAGAAACCCGGGGAATGCAGTTGAGTTGATCATACTGCTCGTATTCTTGTCTACACCTCGCCACTGCCTGAAACATCAATTATGCACTCGATTTACAGCAGCGAAGGGACGGACCACTCCTCGTAGTTTATAGTTGTCATGCCTGTCCTCAAGGCAATCACAGAAGCCGTCAACGATGCTACCAACTGCGAGAGGAAGAATCATTATCGACCGGGGCTACTTTTGCTCACCCCTAAACTCGGGTCTAACACCGGCCTCGTTTCTCTAGCGACCTGCTGCTTCTCCAGAGCCACTATCAATATACCCATTTGCGCTTGGGCTCGCAGAGGGTCCTAGAAAGGTAAGGAGAAATAGCCGCTCTGACGAAAAGGTGGGTGTAAGAGCCAAATTAGAGAGCCACTTGCAGTTTGTGGGAATCTATTTATCTGGCCCTGTCTGGAGTAGCTGCCATCATAGTGACGCCACTATGATTGGAGGGAGCCAGGGGGAGAGGAACACATCATCAGTTATTCATCAGCTCTGATTCTGAGGATACTGAGACCGGTCATGTTTTGCTGTCGTCGAGGTTGCTGAAATGTGAGGAAATGACGGGGCTGACATAAAGGAGGTCGAACAGTGGGTCCTAAAGGCGAGAAGAAAATGGATGGAAGCCTTTCACTGTTAGGCTTCATGGGAGAAAGCAGGGGCCGTGTCGTGCGAGAAGGGAGGGAAGGGAGAAGAGGGCAGCGGGACGAGGAGTGGAGCCGTGATCCTCAAAAGGTGCTCCTTGTTCTTTGCCTTGTCTTCCACCCCTGCGTCCGGTATATCCCTCCCCGCAACAATCGTTCCTCTGCTAGACATGAGAGCTATTTACGAAACATGTCCGTTTTCCTCTCTCCAGGGCTACTTCTCGTGAACTGACCACATCGCCAGCTGGTCTGGGCTTTGTGGACATGGAAGTCTCCAGACGTATTTCAGGTGTTTCTATCATTGGTAGCGAATTACGACTCAGAAGTAATTATCACGGGGAAGAAGTAAAGTGAAGGAACTTTTTTTGTTACGCACATACACTCGGTGCGTGGTACTCAGAGAAATGTAGAGTGCATGGGAGGTATTTTGTTGGGATAAAGCTACGGGCTGGGATGAAAGCTTCTTGTCCATTAGAAATTTCAAAGATGCTCTGAAGTTCGTTAAACCTTTTGTTTCTGGTGCTCTTGTACATGAACAACAGTGAAGCAAACGATTTTATACCGGAAAGACGAGTGCCCTTGTCTTCCAACAGCATTAAAGCCTCTCGCAGCTTGGGTCGGTCCCATACATCGTGTGTTTCCAACACACAAACAAAGCAACTTTTTAATTGTGTCATGACCACTTGCTTCAAGTTATTTTGTTGGGCTGGCCTCGAGCGACCATACATTGATTCCGTCGCTCCAACTCCTTTGATCATGGAGAAGATAAACATTCGTCGATGCTTTAGGGAGGGATATCGCCTTTGGGACCCCACTATCATGCAGTCGTACTAAAAATAAAGCCTTGATGAAACATTCGCGCAAGCTCATCCTGCATCCTGCACTTTGATCCACAAGCTTGGAAAAGCAAGACATTCAACAACCTCCTTAGGTTCTTAGAGTGCATAAAATAGTGGGTGAGAATAAGAAGGAATGTACTGCAAAATGATGCGAACAGTGTGGTAAACATGTTTCGCCCCCCCAGTGCGAAACATCTGTAGGGGCTTGTCTGCAAGGTACGAGCTCCCATTTTCACATTGTTGTACCAATTCCTTTCGCTCCATATCTCTCTGAACTGTATGCATGTGCAGGGGAGTTGGTATCAATATTTTGAAATATGAATACTGGGGAATATTGTGGAAAGGCTCCATAATAGTGAGTCCAGAAGATTATGTGCATGCATAAAAAGCGGCAAGGATTCTCCCCCAGCTCCAGCAGCTCTAGGACTCTCCACCCGTCCCGTCATACGGAGCCTCCCACTCCCTTGGTGCCCGTCTTTACTCTGAGCCGGACACAGATATAGCTCTCGAGAGTCCTCAGTATCACTACCGAGAAACCGAGAAGCGCAGCAGAGAGAAAGACGAAGGAGATCTGACTCTGAGGATACGAAGCTCGGGTTCTGAACCCACTGGCCCCGTCGAATACTGAAGCTCTGCAAGACGAGCTGCGGTACCGTAGAGGGAGAGCGGGAGAGACGAGAGGGCAAGAGAAGAGACGACAGACGGAGAGCTCTCGATTGGAGTACTTGCAGGCTGGGCACCGTCTTCATCACAGCGTCTGAAGTGACTCGTAAGAGAGATACGTAGCGTAGCGAGCAGAGCGCTGCTGCTGCTGGAGCTGCTACAACTGCCTCTGGAAGGGGAGGGGTGGGAATGAGGGGAGGACGCTGGCCACATAGGAGTGGAAGGCGCTGCTGCTGCTCAGACTGAAAGCTAGACAGAGCTGCAGAGAGGGCAGCGTCGTTGAGTGCTGCAGCTAGCATCGTAGCTACTGTACATAGGTGGCTAACGACATAGGCGGAGTGGATTGTAGCGAGTAGAGTCGAACTCGCGAGACAGAGACAGAGCCAGAGAGACAGAGCGAGAGATTAACGGGAGGGAGGATTTGAGACCGTCCGAGTAATTTGCGAGCGAAGTTACAAGAGTGACAGTACAGGACGACGAGAGAAGAGAGGCGAGGCGAGGCGAGGACGAGAGTCGGCTGTTTGTTGGTTCTCGACTCATCGCCTGGGCGTCTTGTCAGTGGAGCGGGGTGGCGGTCCACTTATAGCTAGGCGAGGGCCCGAGCAAGGGGAGGTGGAAGGAGTGAGTGAGTGAGTGAGGAGTAGTCTGTCTGATGAGTAGATTGAGTTTTTGAATCACCCCATCTGCTTTTGGGCTGCTCTACGGGAGGACGAAAGGGGGCTCGCGTCTAGAGTAGATGGAAAAGAGTGGAGGCTTTGACTGGCGCTGAATTTGCATTCGAGAGGTCAAACTCTCGCTAGGGGTGAAGTGGTCGGTCGGTCCCGCCCTCCGAGCCTATTGATGGTGGTGGCGGTCCTCGCTGGAGCGGAAGAAATAGGATTCCGAAAGCTCTCTGAATTCTCGTTCGCTCTTGTCGAGCCCTCGTCAATTGATATATGGACTGAGAGTTGACTCATTGCTCTTCATTGCCGCGCTCAACCAGCTTCGGAGCTGCTTCTAATCATCCGCCATCTTAGACAGAGAGAGACAGCGAGACGAGAGACGAGAGACGTGAGTGAATGAGTGATCGAGACCGAGCACGTCCTGCCTGAACCAGCTCATCAATCAAAAGGAGCTTAGAGAGACTTGAAGAGCACAATTCTTCCCTAAGTAGATCAATCGACGAAAAATCTCGAGGGTCAATACTTCTTTGACCCGTCTGCTCGGTCTGCCAGACTGAGCACTCCGTGCAACGACTTCCAAGTCATTCAATCGAGAAGCATTTCCAGGCTCCCATAATTGCAGGGAGTCACAATTCCACCCATTACGGCACTTCATCGAGGAACCTGGTGACCGTCCGAGTTCCACCGCTGCGTGTTAGTCCAGCTGGTGGGGGATAGCCAAAATTCGCATCGTCTCGGAGGGAGTTTATTTTCTTCGACGAATTGTCAGAGTGGGAGGAAGAGCAGAAAAGCCGTGCTTTTAGGAGAGAAGATTCAATGGGGAATGCAGCGACCTGCAGTTTGGTGGATGTGGTGGGCACGGTGACGGTGACGCAGACGGATGGACAGATGCTGGAATTTGTTCAGCCCGTATTCGCGTTCCAGGTGAGGAAGCTGCATCCGGGGAATTGGCTCGTGCATTACATGAGCGTGCACGATCCCACATTGGGGCAGCACAGCAAGATGTCAATGCTGGCGGGCAACGAGGAGCTTCAACCGGGAGAAATCTACTTCCTGCTCCCCATACCTTCGCATTTCCGAAAGCAGCTCTTCGGCTCCAAGCGCCACTCGTCCAAAGGCAACCCCAATGGGACCAGCACCAGCACCGGCACCGGCAACAACAGCCACCATCACCACCAGTCCTCTTCCAAGGATACTCAGATTAGCCAGAGGCTGCAGCTGCAGCTGCAGCCTCTGTACGACATCATCGAAGGCACGACTCCCAAACCCCAGGAGATAACCATGTCCGCGCTCTCCACGACGCTGGCGACGCCGCTGCTCCAGCAGCAGACGCAACATTACCTGTCATCGTCGCTCATGAGCATTCCTCAGCAACGACCCACCAAGAGATGCAGTCGCCAGAGATTTCACGTCGCCAGAGATTGCGATTGGAGACCCACCCTGGTCACCATCCCGGAGGTGTTTTAAGGGAGGCTCGAGGCCCTCTCGAAGGTGTCATGAGTCCCGCCCCGCTGTTTTTTAACCTCACTTACATTAACTTCCCTCGTATCCGCCTGCGCCCCTTCGTCATCGTCGCCGTCACCCCATCACCATCACACCATCATCTGCTACTGCTGCCGCTGCCAGAGCTTTTCGGTGTTTCGGACGATCCTTTCAGTCTTGGACGGACTTGTAGATCGACGAATTGTTCAATCCAAGCTCACTTGTATATTTTCAGGATCGCTGCCGGCACTGGATGACAGATTATGGAAGATAGCAGCAGCTTCAGTATCACGTCCACTGTTTCTCGTCTTTCGAATGGATCCCAAATTTCTGCAGCAGATTTGTAGGGCTGGTAGAGGGCTTGTAACCTAGTAAAGGATTCTTTAGCTGATTGGGTGCTCCCACATCACGAGTTTAGGCAGATTGAAAAAAGTTTCAATCAGATCAAGAGCTCTCCTCGATCTCAGGAATCTGCGTAGATTTTCAGGTTACACACGCACCTACCTACCAGGCTGCCAGCCGCCTGACCAACGTTTTAGGTAGAGATGCAGCAGTTGAGAGATTGTTTGCGATCGAAGTGGTTTGTATCTTACTTGTTTTAAGAGTATCCACTTGAGCACGGTATATAAAATGTGAATTTGCTACGACTCCCCGTGCTTCTTCACGGCTCTTGTGCCTCCGGATGCAAATCATGCATCCCAGGATTTGATTGCTCGGCTGTTAGTTGCTTCCATTCAGTGATTCTTGGCTTGATGGGGCTGTGCTCTCGGGACCCATGGAACCAGAGCCGCGAAGCTTCGGCGCTCTGGAGCTCACGCTTGATTGCTGGTGTTTCAGGATGAGGAGGATTATTGGTCGAGCGATTAGTTCTGTGAGTGCGGGAGGATTTATTCGCGGAGCTCTGGCGCTCACGTTTGATGTCTGATGGGTGATGTTACAGCTCCAGAGGCTCACAGTGACATTGCACGGGCATAGTAATGGTCTGTGAGGTCAATTGCACTGTGCACGGATCCAGTGTCTCTCTCTCTCGGCGAGACGCTTTATGGCGCTCATCAAGGTTTACGTTTCTTCCGTTTCCCTCGATGGGAAACGCTTTGCAAAGCGCTTGGGCTTGCAGTAAGTGTAGACTGTGTGCGATAGGTCGAGAATTCCTCAGGGTAGGCGACATGATGGTTGAGCAACTGCGTGGAAGTTCGGTCGTTTTGTTCTCCGACACCGGATCGGTGCAGTAGTGAAGGATGGGCATTATGGCCATCGTACGAGGCAAGCGCCGCTCGGGTAGCTCACATGACGAGCTTTCTCGTTAATTCTGGCATTAAAGCTTGCTGATTCCGTTTGTTACCTGATTAGGAGCCTCAGACAAGAAAAAGTGGCTCTCCCTTTCTGTTGAGGAAATTCAAAACGTGGGGTATCGTCATCGGAGGAGCCTTGTCGACCCAGCAGACGCCAGAATGATGCGGAGGAGGAAGAGGAGGAGGAGCTCTCCCCATCGCGTGCTGGGGGCATGGTCTTTCCGATTCGGGAAGGAGTAGGTGGAGAAGGTTCTGAGATAAGTTCTTCGAGCACCAACAGCAGCCAGCAGCAGCAGCAGCAGCTGCTGCCCGAGAGCTTAATAAACACATTCTTCAGCATAGCTCCTCCCTCCCTCCAGTCAGACTGACCGATTGCCTGCCAATCCTGGGACGCCAGGCTGATCCAGCCCATGCGCATATCCATTGCCGAGGTAGTTCAGCGCTGGAATCGAAAAGACAAGCAAGGACTGCGTACGTGTTGTTGAAAAGCTCCCTCTCAGTTTCAGCTGAGTCTCTCGCTCGCTCTCATGGCCTGGAGCGGACACACTGTTCTTCAAAACCATGGATCTGCGCTCGAGGTCAGGCTGCAGAGTCAAGCCGTAGATCTATGTTCTCTCCCGCAAGCCGCGACTCTCTGAAGACGGCTCCGCTGCAGTGCCATGTCTCCCGGAAGCTGGTCTCCTGCAGTGCCATGTTTTTCCATGCGGTAGACTGCTCCACCTCCTCCTCCTCCTCCCGCTTTCTTCTGGCATCCCGTAGCCTTTAGGAATAAGATTTCCCAGAAACCCATCCGCCCAAGCAAGTGATCAGCTAGCTGCCGCTAGGAGCGAGTAGGATTTCTCTCCCCCCACAGCAGCACCTCCTCAGAGTCTAGACGCGGATATCCTTCTGGAACTAGAGCCAGATTGTAGACCTCTGTTGAGATTTGAATATTGTAAACAATCAAAAAGCAGCGGGGAGGTGCAGCTGCAGCCGCAAGGTGTGACCGAGCCTGCTTCCGACTGGTGTGACTCAGCGCCCCAGGCACATTCAATTACTTTATCTTGCACTCATTGCAGAGCTGATGGAAGTGTCCTCGCAACATAGAGTCGGACGAAGGCAAGTCCGCCTTCATTGCAGGCTCGCTTCCTTAGAGAGTCTTGCTCTAACGCTTTAACTCAGAGGTCATGAGGCTCACGAGATCATGTATGCCAGTGGCAGCTGACAGATTGCGGAATATATTTACATCGTTATTTAAGGCTCACATGTATCGGTCCATACATTCTTTCGAGCCTTCATGGGCTCGTTGGCTGGGGTTTATTTGTTTGGATATTGCTCTGGGCAACGCATTACAGTGGACGGAAAGCACACCAAGTACTAGGACGCTCAGAAGCTCAAGGTTCGTAGATTTTGGGCCGGAACTCGGTGCAAGCATTTAATCTATACACAAACGGTAGCCACTATGCCTTGCCAATGCCACATGCTCCGCCAATCCTGGACGCCCTGCCCAGCCCAGCGCAGCGTTCTTGCGTGACGAGGCGGAAATGCTGTATGTTGCAGGTTGGCTTCAGAATTCCATCAGTGCGAACACAATCCCTTCCTCTATTTCTCGGGCCTTGTCCTCCACCTACGGCCGCTGCTTCAGCAAAGAGCAGCAGCAGCAAAGCTCCGAGCTGTAGGAAGGCAATAGCATAGTTGAGTAAGGTGTGCATTGATAGATAAATTACTGTGGACCCACTATGGGCTAGCGAGAAGAAAGTCGATGGATGCCCCTGCTTGCTCATGAATCAAGCAGCGGATTCGTCCTTCCGAAAAATACGCGAAATGCTCTGCTGAGTCTTCAATCTCCGACAATAAATTCCATCCCATACCATCGTAAAGGCAGGCAAAGCAGGCATGGGGAGGCTATGGCAACGGCAGCACTTGAGGATGGGAAGTGGAGGATGAAGTGGACCAATTCTTCACAAGACTGCCCAGTCAGTCCCCGGTTTCGAAAGGTCAGATGTGCCTCCCGCCAGGACCTCGCCTACAAGCATTTCCCACTGCTGGCTGGACCGACTGCCGACTGGATCCGACATCGCATTTAAGTCTTCGAAACAAACAAGAGAACCTTTTCATGGGTGTAGCTGTGATATCGGATCGGAGAATGAGCAAGCCACAACTCTTCTCGCTCGCTCGCTCACTCACACGCACTCACACTAACAGGCTCTTCTCCTTTCCCTGTCCTGTCCTGGCCTGTCCTGCTCTGCTTCTTGCTCTGCGTTTCCATAGACTTGGCATATCAAGCACTCGTCCGATCTTTCAGATCCTCTCTCACTTTCGACTCTGTCCCCTCTATCTCTCAACGGGTCGTCTCTAGACTCCGCCTCCCCTCGGCTCGCCTCACCTCACCTCACCTCACCTCACCTCACCTCACCTGATGAGGTTTGTAGCTTGCTTGGGGATGAGTGCCCGGAAACCAAATCCCACTACTCCCGTGAAACAAGGAGGAGGAAGCGAGAACATCGTTGCCCTTATTCTACCAGAATCCTCGGTCTCATCTACTTCCTCCTGGTCTCTCAAGATCTTCGAATCTCTCTCTATCTCCTTCCTTCTGGACGTGCTTGGGGAAGAGGGCCAGTCGGCTCTGAGCAGCAGCTGCTGGAGCCATGCCATGCTCTCATATAACAAAGAAGAAGATTTCCTTACCTACCCACTCAGCCCAAGGAGACATAAACCACTTTTCCTTGGGCCTTGGCACGATCGGAGCAGATTGACTTGCCCTACGACCTTCCAACGAATCCAACGATGCAACTGGATCAAACCAATTCTCGAGCTAAGCACCATACCCAACCGGCTTTCTGGCTAGGCTGCTTGGAGTCACCTGATTTTGCCCTCCTACGTGTCCCCCGTGGAGACCAGAACACGTTGGCTCTGCCTTCCCAGCACTTTCGCCGAAAGAGTTTTGTTTAATCCAAATCAATCTTTATGTGAGGACAGGTGGCTTTATTTTCGTTCGAAGAAGTGTGGTCTAGTTTATCGCCCTCACTGCGAGACACATCAAAGTAAACATGTTCTTCACAACGAAATTTCACACATGTTAGCATTCTCACTGACACGATTGGGAGTGATAATTGCCTACTCACTCTCCCTCGCTTATGTTCTGTCAAACTTCGGACCGAGCACCACAGACAGCAGTCATCGAGGCGCACAACCAGTCACTAGCTCTCGCCACCTGGTCAACATCCAGCCCCTCGCAGCCACACCTTTCTCGCGCCTAGCCCCGCACGCAGTCAACAGGTGTCCTGAACCTGGTGATTTTCTATGCAATATGTCACTACCCACCACGACTTCCACATCCCTGTCGTTTTACTCTCATAATTTTCCCGTTTTCGACGAAGCTGTACAACATTTGGCATTTCGTGTTCTGTACTATTCCATCTCCCATCGGCATCGTTGATACGGGAGCACGATCAAGCTTCAGATTCATATGAAAAACACAACGCCTGCTGATGGAATCCCGTGCCCAGCAAGGACCATGGCAGCCCGGGGGCACAAGTTTCATCCTCCCTGCTTGACACGATTTTTCGGTTACAAGATTCTCCGTCTTTTGGTTTTTTCTCCTTCTAAGTGTTGGGGGCTGCATGATCTCAAACACCTCGTCACTTGTGATCAATCACACACATAAGCACACAACGTCCTCACTTGACGGCACACTTGCTAATCCTGAAGCCGAGAGGGATCTCAAGACATGTGTGTCCGCCTTGACCTTGTTGCCAGCTTCTGAATGCTGCGCTTTAGTACATTATTCTAACTACGTTTATTGCCTCTCGAGTAGCTGTTTGTAGACCATTTGGGGATTTTGGAACATGACTAGTTTTGTGTGCCACGGAGAATTTTCACATAAAAAATTACTTCTTGGGCTTGTCACGAGGATTAAATGTGCTCCATTCTCCCACTTCAGACTAAGGCTTATTCGCTCATTCTATTAAAAATTGTCACAAGAACCTTGGAGCTTGACGTTGTTTTTAGTCATCGAGCTTGTCACTACATGTCTCCCCAGTTTCCGAGGGCTAACTTTTGCCATGATAAGCAGAGCATATGAAGTGACTTGCATAGCAGACAAATACCGAAGCCGATCCCTCCATGACTACCGACGCATGAGCTCTTATTTTGAGGATTTTTCTATGGAATCTTCATGACAATCGTCATCCTGCCTTTCAAGCTTGCAATTCCTCCAAGCTCCCTCTCGTTGGCTGTTCGCGTTAACCTCCGCACGACGTAACACAAGTTCAAGTGCCTCTACCCATTTCATCGTGATTTACTGTTTCTTCGGAATGTTCCTCGTTTGAGCAGCATTGCAGCCGTTCTCGCACTCTTGTCTCCCGGGTGT